CTATTCTGACAGTTTGGCAGATAAGGGCACTGCTAAATTCCCTCCTCATAACCCAGTTTCACTAGAGTGGCTCTCCATCCTATTTTTGCAACCTGCCTTAGAAGAGAACACCTCTAACCCATTTGGTAGCATGTCTGTTAAATGTGGATAACTGGTGCATCTACACTTGGGAGATATCACAATCTATAACTTCTGATACATTGTCAGGAGGGGCCAAGGATCTTTCAGGGGCATTTCCAGCTCTCAGAGGAGTGATTCAAACAACAGGTGTAATAGGAAGGTTTTAGGAGCAAAAGCTCCCAAACAGGAAACAGTCCATCAAATGCTCTAGCTAACTGGCAAAGCATGCAGCAGTACCCGTGCCCTTTCCCAGCTCCCAAAACAGTCTAGACCCCATTCACTGAAGCATAAAAAAGGATGGAGGCTGTATCTGTTAGGCCTCCGATCCCCATCGCCTGTCCACACTCCAATCCCCAGCGTGTAATAGGATAATCTAATGCATGCCGAAACTATCTGTAACAGGGTTGTTGTGAAGGAATGCAAGCAGCAGAATTGAAACAAAGCACTTGGCTCTAGAGGATGGTTGCTTGTGGTTACTGCCTGAGCCTGGGTCAAGTCAGTAATTTAATGTCGATGTAAGCCAAGAGGCCCATAGCAACTCTGGGGGAGTTGCAGAGATCCACAGCTCAGGTGGGAGAATCTGTCCATAGGGCAACTATTAGTCGTACACTCCACAAATCTGGCCTTTATGGAAGAGTGGCAAGAAGAAAGCCATTGTTGAAAGAAAGCCACAAGAAGTCCCGTTTGTTTTGCTGTGTCCCCCACATGGCTTCTTGCAAACTGCAAAGTCAGAAGATGCTCTGGTCAGATGAGACCAAAATTCAACTTTTTGGCCTAAAAAACAGATATGTGTGGGGGAAAACCAACACTGCACATCACCCTGAGCACACCACCCCCACCATGAAACATGGTGGTGGCAGCATCATGTTGTGGGGATTCTTTTCTTCAGCAGGGACAAGGAAGCTGGTCAGAGTTGATGGGAAGATGGATGGAGCCAAATACATATTTTAGAAGAAAACCTGTTAAGTCTGCAAAAAAGACCTGAGACTGGGGCGGAGGTTCACCTTCCAGCAGGACAACAACTCTAAACATACAGCCAGAGCTACAATGGAATGTTTTAGATCAAAGCATATTTATGTTAAAATGGCCCAAAGTCCAGACCTAAATCCAATTGAGAATCTGTGGCAAAACTGCACAATTGCTGTTCACAGACGCTCTCCATCCAATCTGACAGAGCTTGAGCGATTTTGCAAAGAATGGTCCAAAATTTCACTCTAGAGACATCCCCAAAGAGACTTGCACCTGTAAATGCTGCAAAAGGTGGCTCTACAACTTATTGACTCAGGGGGGCTGAATACAAATGCACGCCACACTTTACAGATATTTGTAAAACATTTTGAAAACCATTTTCATTCCACTTTACAATTACATGCCACTTTATGTTGGTCCATCACATAAAATCCCAATAAAATACATTTATGTTTTTGGTTGTAACATGACAAAATGTGGAACATTTCAAGCGGTATGAATACTTTTTCAATGAACACTATGTGCAGTGTATACAGCAAACAGGCAAGGGTTCTGTTTAATCATCCCCATTTAACCCACTCCCACTATAGGCACAAACTTGCCATGTCTAGGGTTTGTCACAGATTGATGTAGAACTTGCTTACCCACTGTATCCCAGGGTGCCTCAAGTATATAATGCTTCTGTTCTTTACATTTTGTCCCGCTGTTTTGACTTTGGCCATTTTAAACATTTGTTTATACCAGTGTTTCTCAACCTTTTTCCAGTCAAGCCACCCTTTAAAATTATGCACAATCTTTAGGCACCCCATTCCAAAATGTAACTAAACTAATAGTTTTATATAATGCAGCAACATCCACACATGTAGGACACCCAACAGAGAAAATATATTCTTTCAAAGCAAATACACCAAAGCAAGGGAGGGGCAAGCAAGGATGCTGTGCATGTGCTCGACGTTCTCCTTACCAATGACATCATTGGTTGTTAGAACACCAGCTGCTAGAAGGTTGTAATGATGCCCAATGAAAACCTGTGGCTTTGCATATCTAAAAGGCAAGCTTGATCCACCCACTGGCTTGAATACAATTTTTGGGCAAATTTATTTTGCCAAGGAACTCCTGAAGAAACCAAAGCACCCTGAGTGAAAAAGGCTGGTTTATACTGTGTAAATATAAACTAGTTTCTAATAGGCATTTGTTGCATCAAATTGTCAGCAAAATATGCACCACCAAAATCGTCAGCAAAACACAAAACCACAGAGAGTTCTGTTTTTGGATGGATGGCATCGGAGCTGAAACCCATGCTGCAGTAAGCCAGTAGTGACAGGAAATTAAAAAAATGGTGCCCCGACAGTGCATCAATGAGGTAGCCCCTGATGTTTCAGCCCAAAAGACCTTACTCACAAGTAAGGCTTCAGAGAGGGGGGGGGTCACACCAAGGGCTGTGTCATGGCACTGGAACCTGACAGTGCTCCGCAGCACCAAACAGGGAGAACAGTGCCCCCAGGCTAGCCCTGCACTTGTCTGGTAGAGTTTGGGTATTGCCTTCAAAGCCATTGCTGAGCATCTGCTAATCTGGAGAGCAGCCATGTACAGACTAGTGGTGCACCGAAATGAAAAATTCTGGTGCCGAAACTGATACTGAAAATTCAGAATGCATGCGGCCGAAAACCGAACCGGAACCAAAACCGAAATGTCTGCGTATGTGGGGAGGCTCCAATTTGTTTTGTATTTTCTACTTTCATGTAGATATTTTTAACTTATGATTTTATTGCTTTCACATAGGAGACCAATAGTCCCCTATGTGATAGCATATGAGTGAAAGGTCCTCTTTGTAGGGGGCAGTGTTTGCAAGGAGGGAGCAGGAGAGGAGCAGTGTATACAGAAAGGCTCCCTCACTGGCTGTCACTATATACCAGTGACGGATTTTAAAAGGCAATTGCTGGCTTCTTTTTTTCTTCACTATAGCACAGATAATGAGCTGTCACTTTCCCTGGAGCTAAAGCAAAACAGTTTCTTTTAGCTGAAGGAGAGCAACAGCTCATTCTCTGAGCTATAGTAAAGAAAAAAAAAAATCTGTTAATTACATTTAAAAATTGGCACTGACATATAGTGACAGCCAATCACTATATGTATACACTGCTCCTCTCCTGCCTTTCTCTGCCCCCCCCCTCCCCCCACATCTGCAGTACATACAGTCCCCTGTATCAGCACAATTTTTCCTATTATCAACATGCCGATAGAGCAATTTTCGGCCGATAGGTTTCGGTTTCCAAAATTTCGGTGCATCCCTAGTACAGACCTGCCTAAAGTATAACTGAAGGTAACTTTTTGTAAGATTTTGGATGGAGTGGAGAGGGATTCGAACACCAGTCAAGCTTTTATTGCTGTATGTGTCCCCATTTGGGAAATGTATCTTCTCCATTTGTACTGAAAGTGAAAAGAAATCTCAAAACTGAAGACAAACAACAGAGTTATAACCCTCCCTTAATCTTATTCAAAATGAAAAAAAAAAAAAAAAAAAAGTTTTGCCTTTAAGCAGTACACAAGGAACTGAAGTAAAAAAAACAAAACAAAAAAAAACCAAAAAACAAAAAAACACACACACAACACATTAGCAGCGAAGCAACTAAATCTTGATTCAAGTAAAGGCTTGCAAGAAAAGGGGTTACTGTTTTCAATGTAGCTGAAGAAGGTATCCAATCCCTTTGAAACAATGGAAAGTGTCCCAACCTTCTGTAGGTGCAGAAAAACTCGATTATAGAGTTCCTGTTTCCACCAATGGGTGATAAAAAGTGCCTTACCAGCAGCTGACATCTGCATATTTGTTGAAGTTGTTTCCCCCACACTTCGTTTTGATTCTAACATTTGTCTCACAGTGCCTGAACTCCTACAGAACAAAGCGGAAACAAATATTGTAACTGGGGAGAAAGCAGTCAAAAAGGTTCTAGAAATCAACAATAGCTTCCTGTTAATAAGATTTTTTTACATTTAAAAAAAACGTTTTAAAATGTTATGGCATTGAAAGTAATGATCTGACCCTTTTCGTTGCCAGGAACCCCCCTGCCCCCCCCTCAATTTTTTTTCCCCCCACACATGATAAAGTACTATTTTTTGCATGGAAATTGACTTAACATCCAAAACAATATATACTTTCTGGAAGCAGAGGACATTTAGAATAAAATTATGGTAATTTTAATACATGTTGAATGGTTTATAAAATTTTGTGCAACAGTATCAAATCTATACAGTACATCTATATGTAAATCTACACAAAATCCAAATTCACTGTTCAGCTTGAAGCAGAGCTTCAATTTTAAAAATTAAATGTCAGCAGCTACAAAAAACGGTAGCTGACTTTTAAAAACCGCCACTCACATGTCCCATAATCCAGTGGTGTACTCACCGCAGCCGGTTTCACTGGCTATCCTCGCTCTTCGGCATCCTAAGTGTGGGCACCCGGCTTAGACAGCTTGCTACTTCACAGTCGGGTGCCCACTGCACATGTGCGGGTAGCACTGCGCTTTGTGAATGGTCCCGTGTCCCAGAAGACTATGGGGAGGGAGGACAACTTCTGTGTTCGATCACCTACATGCATACTCCCCTGCTGGGGAATCAGAAAATCACTGTAGTACTCTTGCACTATTACAGTGAAAGCAGTGATCTCCAGGTCCTGTGTCACCATTCACAGAATGGGAATAATTCACCCTAATACACATTAAGGAAATACACCTTTAACCGCCTCCCGCCCGCCATATAAGGTAATGACAGGCATAAAGCGGTTCTCTCATTATGGGAGGACGGCATGTGACGTCCTCCCACTGTAACTGTGCGTGTGCAGCTCCAGGATCACCGATCAATGGAAAGAGCCGAAGATGTCAGCTCGGTCATGTGATCAGCTGTGTTCAATCACAGCTGATCGGATGTAAAATAGGGAAATGCTGGATATAGGCATTTCTCTCCTCACAAGCTGTCACGCTGACAGCTCAAGACGTGAGGATAGCCGGCATTCCTCGGAGGGGATATGTACACGGATCATCAGGGCACTGATGATCAGTGTGCCCTGATGATCAGTGTAGCCCCAGCAGTGCCACCTGTCAGTGTCCATCAATGCTAGCTGTCAGTGCTCATAATCAATTCCACCTGCCAGTGCCCATGAGTGCCACATATCAGTGCCTACCAGTGCACATCAATGGCACAGTGCCCATCTGAGCTGCCTTTCAGTGCCACCTATCAGTGCTGCCAGTCAGTGCCACCTAACAGTGCCAGTGTCGCCAATCAGTGCCATATACGAGTGCTGCCTTTCAGTGCCACCTACTAGTGCCTCATCAGTGCCCATCAGCCTCATTAGCGTACATCAGTGGAGAAAAATCACCTATTTACAAAATTGTATAACAAAAACTAAGAAAAAAACATTTTCAAAATTTTCAGTTTTTGGTTTGTTTATAAAAAAAAAAAAAAAAGAACCCAGAGGTGATTAACCATTTCAATACCGTGCAATTTTACACCTTCCTGCCCAGGCCATTTTTCAGGTTTCAGCGCTCTCACACTTTGAATGACAATTGCGCAGTCATACAACACTGTACCCAAACTAAAATTTTATCATTTTCTTCACACAACTAGAGCTTTCTTTTGGTGGTATTTAATCACCGCTGGGGATTTTATTTTTTGCTAAATTAACAAAAAAAAAACCAAAAATTTTGAAAAAAAAACCCCACATTTTTCTTTGTTTCTGTTATAAAAGTTTACAAATAAATAATTGTTCATACATTTAGGCCGAGATGTATTCTGCTACATGTCTTTGGTGAAAATAACCCAAATTAGGATGTATTATTTTGTAGGAAAGTTATAGAGTTCACAAACTTTGGTATATATCTGAAAATTGATCAATCCTGAAGTACTGACAGCCAATCTAATTTCTTGAGGTCCAAGAATGTCAGAATAGTACAGATATCCCCAAATGACCCCCTTTTGCAGAGTAGACAGTCCGACGTACTTCATAAGAGGCATGGCGAGTTTTTTTAAGTTAAATTTTTTTGTCATAATTTTTCGGAAAATGAAAAAATTAAAAAAAATTTCACTTTTTTTTTTTTTTTTTTTTTTTACATACTGTCACCAGTGCAGTACAGCGTCATCATATAACTAGCATGGCAGTGAACAGGGACACTGACTGGTGACAGTATGAAAAAAAAATATATATATATTTTTAATTTTTTTTTATTTTAAATTTTTTATTACATTTTTTTAAGATTTATTTTTCATATTTTACTGTGACCAAAGTAGTACAATGTTACCATAGTAACATTGTACTACTTTGGGGAAGTGATCAGTATTTTTTTTTTTTTTTACACAATTTGCTTATAGCAAAGAATTACTTTGCTATAAGCAAGCATTTACCTGAAAGACATCGATTCATTCAGCTTTTTTTTTTGTGTGCTTAGCTGTGATTTGATCACAGCTAATCACATGACATGTGCATGTGATTAGCTGTGACCATTCACAGCTAGGCACTAGTATACAATGGATGGCATGAATGAAGCCATCCATTGTATACAACTGTCATGTGACCTGCTGTGATTGGTCACAGCGGGTCACATGGTACCAGCAACGGGAGCCGGTACTCGGATCTGTCATCGGCCGTGTCCGAGGTGCACGGCCGGTGACAGATCACGCTGCTGCGCCGCTCTGCATTAGCGCAAACTGCGCATGTGCGGGAGCACGCCAAATGGCATGCACCCGGAATGCAGCAACACGTTTGAAGCCGCCAAACGGCCATTGGCCGGGCGGCTAATGGTTAAATACCACCAAAAGAAAGTGGTCTAAAAAAAATGCTAAAAATGTCATATGGGTACAGTGTTGCATGAGCGCGCAATTGTCAAAGTGTGACAGCTGAAAGATAACCACTCAGACAGTTTTCTCCATAAAAAGGTCTTCCCCCTCTACTCCTGTTAAAGTGACAACACACAATTCTGAAACTACTCTCTCCTATTGAGTCCCAGTTACAATAGTTACAAGGACAAAGCTTTGGTTTTAGATGTACTGCACACTTCAAACATCCACATATGGCAAATATTCTAGGGCTATCCTTAATGCTAAAGCGATAAGCAGTAAAAGGTTTGTAATATATTACCAATTTACAATTGGACACATTTTTGTCTGTGCACATGTGATTTTGAGGCTAGGTCTATGTGGCATTAGTCTATGACTGGACGCAGTCTATTTTATATTTAATAGTAACACTTAGAAGATTATATTGTGTGAACACTAAAGAGGTGTGTAGGTTTTACGGATTTTGATTTAACAAACATTTGCTCTAATACTGCATGGCAAACAGCTGAGACAACTATGGCGTCAGTCAACGCTAATTAACTATGCGCCAAAAATGAATTCTTGTGATGCAAATACTTATACTACCCCCCCCCCCCCTTTCCCCTAGGGAAAAATGGATACATGTATGCCTAATGCCAAGGGAGTCTAAAGAACACATACAAATAGTATTTTCAGGGTATGTTTGCTGTATGTGATTAGGAGACACTTTATTAGAAAACCAAAAAAAATGATAATTTGAACATATGGCTTAAAAAAATAAATAATTAACACGTCTGCTACCAAATGCCTGCCAATATGAAGAAATATGAAGAAAACAATAAATGACAAACAGTGTTTGCAATGTTTGGGTTTAAAAGGCTTCAGTTTGGTTTTTTTTTTTTTGTTTTTTTTTTTTTAATCTTAATGCATTCTCTGCATTAAGGTAAAAAAACCTTTTGCAACAGGGATTCCCCCCAGCTTTCTTCAATACTTAACCAAGCCTGAACTCATTCCAGGGCTGTGCCTGAGAGCAGCAGCTCTCCCTCCTCACAGGGCAGACTGATAGCAGTGGGAGCCATTGTTTCCGGCTGCAGTTAACTAAATCCTGTGATGAGGGAACAGGGGAGGGGGGGGCCTCGCTTCGCTGTCTATGGACACAGGCAGAGGGGCTCAGAATTGAGTCTGCACAAGTGCCATCATAGAAAATAGTTTCCTACTTGCCGAAGAGAAGCCAGGAGTGCCAGAGGGAAACCCAAGAAGGATCAGGACTACTCCATGCAAAACCATTTCAGAGAGCAGGTAAGCATGATGGACAAAAAAAAAAAAAAAAAAAAAAAGTTCAGCATCTTAATACCACATTAAAGTAATCACTTGCTACATTCCAGCTTACCTGTAAGCTACTGAATTTGGGCTAGAGTTCGAAGTTAAATCCATTACTGCAGACTTTCCTGGTGATGCAGTCTGGTTAACCGTGGTTTGCTGTATTTGACATGCAAAAATTTTTTTATTAAAATAGTGATCAGTGAAGCAAAATATTCCAGGTATGGAAAAATATTACAAAATGACTGCTACATTTAGTCTCTGTTCTCCACGTGGCATTGTTTTGTCCCTATATTACATGCACATTTTTTTCATTCACACACACACACACACACACACACACTCTATTTCCAAGTCTGGGATATAGACTGCTACCTTCAGGTGATCACAGGCAAAGCTTTGCTTGACATGCCCCCTGGGTGTACCCCATAACCCTACCTCACTCAGTGAAACCCTTTTTTGTGTGTGTTCTAGCAAGCAATGCAGAGTAACACCGTAACAAAGGGCAGGGTGGCCTGTGTCATCCTAGCAAGCAATGCAGAGTAACACCGTAACAAAGGGCAGGGTGGCCTGTGTCATCCAAGATATAAGTTAAAATGCCTCTAATTTTAGAATTGTACGGGACAAGCTGGATATTCATAGAACCTGGGACGTCAACAAAGCAATGCACAAGGGTGGGCAACAAGGAAACAGAACCGTGCTAATAAGTCAATAGACCCAATTCAGAGTGCTGCTGCAAGAACCTTGCAGCCAAAAGCTACACAGACGTTTAGACAGCTACCTGGTGGAAACCGGGAGAATGTACTGAACATCAGGCAGCGACCTGGCAAAGCTGGGAAATGGGCTTGAAATCAGAATGCTCAAGAAACACCCAGTGATCTGTTAGTGGGGGCACATAAGAGTGCTGGAGGGGTTTTATCCCTTAGTTCAGGGTTTCTCAACCTTTTTTCAGACAAGAAACCCTATAACCATTTCAGCTCTGGAAGGTTTTACCCTCCAGCACTGTGCTTTGACAATTGCATGATCATGCAACACAAATTGAACTCTTTTGCTGGTATTTGATCACCACTGGGTTTATTATTTTTTTGCAATATAAAATGAAAAAGACTGGACTAAATTTCTGAAGAAATGTTTTTTTTCTTCAAAACTAAGGTATATATTACACACACTGGAATTTATACAGCTATGACACTATACTAGTAATGGCGGTGATCAGCGACTTATAGTTGGCCTTCAATAGCGTGGTGTGCTACAAGACACTGGCTGGGACGTACACTAACTGACTCCGACATCAATAGTGACTAACACAGTGATCAGTGTCAATACTGTATAGTCACTGTACTGACACTAGCTGGGAAAACACCAACAACAGCTAAGAGCAAGCTTCTAGCAGGCTTCAATAAGCTTCGATAAGTTTGGCAATGACTCTTGGGAGTCAGTCTTGTCATGGTTAACCCAAGTTTCAAATTGCCAATCTATTTGTTCATTAATAGGAAAGTGCTGTAGACTAAGCAGGTCTTTTAATTCCCAAGGGTGCATAGCAAGACAGAGAAGAAGAATTGAGTGTGACAATGCAAAGGCTTTTTGCACACAGCAGAAGTCATATCCACATTGGCAAGCACATTTTGTGAAGCTATAACATCAGGTGTCTGAGAGGCTTGGGGTAAGAAATCTACTGTGGCCTTCTCTAACACCACCTATGGTGGTCTGCATCCTCTAGAGGAGGTATTTGACTTTCCAACTCCAGAAAATATTGGAGAAGAAGCTTAATACTTTTAGGTTCTGGACAGCGATAGTTAAAGTCATTAGTTGTCCAAAAAAGTCTATCAGTTGCAGAAAAATCTGCTTTAGTCAGATAGAGCTCGAAGCAGATGTAGAACTGGTCTTAAAATAGAGTTTTTTGCTGGTGGAAGGGAAGCATCCTGAGTAAGGATGCACCAAAATTCCATGGCCGAAACATATTGGCCAAAAATAACCCTATCGGCAAAATGCCGATAATTGCAGCCTGAGGGGTGGATGGACGGTTGTATTTGGAGAAAGGCAGGATAGGTGGTAAGCAGTGTATACAAATAGGCTCCCTCACTTGCCACCGCTAAATATCATTGCCGGTTTTTAAATGCAAATAGCCATTTTTTTTTTCCCTTCCTTCACTTTATAGCTCCAAGAAGGAGCTGTCAATTTGCCAGTGACCACGCCCCTTTGTTTACTTTAGCAGCAGGGCTAAAGAAAGCTCCTTATCAGAGCTATAAAGTGAAAGAAAAAAAAAAAAGCCAGAAATTGCATTAAAAAAAACGGAAATGACATTTAGTGGCAGAAAGTGAGGGAGCCTCTCAGTATCTACTGCTAATAGTGTAACATGTGGTGTGATTTACACCTAGTCCTTTCCAATACAACACCTTGTTAACTGATTACATTTCAAACACAGATGCAAACACTATTCAGAGTACCCTGCAAGAAATGAGGCTACAGTACTGGTCCAATACAATGTAAACCTGGTTTCATCCTTTCACGTTGCTGGTCCCTATTTCGGGTCCAGTCTTTGCCAATCATGGTGGGCATAGCTACAGAGGGGTCTTCAAGGTCTAGGCTTTATGGAGGAGGAACAATGACCCTGGTTCTGTACAGCATCCTGCGGCTAACTACACATATTGTACCAAATGCCAAGGTAGCGCCAAAGCAGGATCCTGTGCCTGAAGGAACATTACAGGCTGTCCCCCACAATGTGGAGCCTGGGTACAGCCCCCAAAGCTTTTACAGAGGTTGCACCAATCTGGATGCACTGCTTCTACTGTTGTATTAGAAGAAATTGAGTTAATTAAATAATCCAAAGTAAAATAATACAGAAGGTAAGCACAGAATTTTTCTGTAGGGAAGTAGTAAGACATCACCTAAGGACGGACAGGGACAGACACACACCTATCTCTATGCAAAAGCTTTAAGCAGGTGTGAAAAATGCTGTAGACGAAGAATGCTTTCAGGAATATAAATGTCAACAGTTGATTAAAATAAATAAAAAAAATGGAAAGTAAATGAACAAAAGAAAAATACAATGCAATATTTGGTATGACCACCCTTTGCCTTAAAAACTGAATTCTTCTAGGTACACTTTCACAGTTTGTGAAGGTAAATGAACAGGTAGGTTGTTCCAAACCTCTTTGATAACCAACCACATTTTCTGTGGATGTAGATCAAATCCTTCTGTCTTATGTAATCCTAGGCAGACAATACTGTGATCAGGGCTCTGTGGGGGCCAATCACTTCCAGGACTCCTTGTTCTTTACGCTGAAGATAGTTCTGAAAGACATTGACTGATAAGTATTTACCTGTATTTCTCAGCATTGATCCTGCCCAATCTCCAATGCCTTTGCAGAAATGCAGCCCCAAACTTGCAAAGATTAAAAGTACTATTTCAGTGTTTGCAGGTGACACCAAGCTATTTAGTGGAATAATGTTCTTACAAGAGGTCTCCAACTTACAAGCCGATCTCAATGCACTGTTTAATTGGGCAACTATGTGACAAATGAGGTTTAATGCTGATAAATGTAAAGTTATGCACTTGAAGGCCAAGAATATGCATCCATCATACATACTAAGGGGGGAGTACAACTGGGGGAATCAATGGTGGAGAAGGATCTGGGAGTTCTGGTAGATCATAAGCTTAATAATGGCATACAATGACAAGCTGTCATTTCTAAAGCAAACACAAATCCTTTGTATTAAGAGGTAAAAACTCCAGAGAGCATTTTACTCCTGTACAAATCATTAGTAAGACCCAAGAATAGTATGCAGTTCAGTTTTGGACACCAGTTCACAAAAAGGATATCAGGGAACTGGAGAAAGTACAGAGAAGGGCAATCAAACTGACAAGAGGCATGGAGGAGCTCAGCTATGAGGAAAGGTAAGAGGAAATGAATTTACGCTCTCTTGAGAAGAGAAGATTAAGGAGGGATGTGATCAACATGTATAATAAATACATTATTTATGAATACATAGGTGGTCCATATGCTGAACTGCGTGTAGATTACTTTAAGGTCATCACAGAGGACAAGGGGCATCCTTTACACATCTGGAAGAAAGGAGATTTAATTTCCAAATACAGAAAGGCTTCTTCACAGTAAGAGCAGTGAAAATGTGGAATAGACTTCAAGAGCTGGTTCTGGCCAGCTCAAATGGTTTTTAAAAAGGCCTGAATTCTTTCAAAAATTTACAGAATATAACTGGATACTAATATTTATAGGTAAAGTTGATCCAGGGAACATCAGATTGCCTCTTGGGGGCTCAGGAAGGATTTTCTCCCCCTGCTGGGAACTGGGATCAAGCTTTGCTGGGGTTACTTGCTCTCCTCTGGATCAACTATGGGAATAAGATTGTGTACAGTATATATGATTATATCTTTTTTCCCCACCTTTTAAATAGTCTGGTTGAAAAGACACATGTCCATCTAGTTCAACCATGTAGTTATGCTTCACTGTTGCCTGCAGACACTCATACCACTCTCCAGCCATTTGGTGAACAAACTGCCTCCTGCTACAGCCAAAATATTTAAAATTTTGACCCATCAGTCCAGAACATCCGCTGCCATTTTTCTGCACCCCAGTTCCTAGGTTTTCATGCATAGTTGAGTTGCCAGCCTTGGTTTTCACATCAGTGGTATGACGTTTTGGCTGCAATTCCTCCATGAAGACCACTTCTGGCCAAACGTCTCCGGACAAACGATAGGTGCACCTGGTTCACACTGGTCTGACAGTTCTGTGCTGATGGCACTGCTGAACATCTTCCAAAGTCGAAGGGAAGCAAGCATATGTCTCATCTGCTGCGTTAAGTTTCCTTGGCCGATCTCTGTCTACAGTCCTCATTGTTGCCCATTTCTTTGTGCTTCTTCAAAAGAGCTTCAACAGCACATCCTGAAACCCCAGTCTTCTTTGAAATCTTTGCTTAGGATAGACTGATTATGTAGTAGAACTACCTTGGTTCTTGTTGCTGTGGTCAGTATTGCCAGGCATGTGACCTGTGACATGAAACGGTCTTCCACAACCTCACCTTAGTAACAGAGTTTGGCTGTTCCTCATCCAATTTTAGGCCTCCTACACAGTTGTTTGAGTTAATGACTGTTTCAACCTACATATGAAATTGAGGACCATTAGGCACCTGCTTGATATAACTGGTCAATCATACACCTGACTAATCCTACAAAATCCCTGACTTTGTGCAAGTGCACAAAATGTGCAAGTGTAAGAATTGTTGCTGGTTTGAAGCCAAAAGGTTGACACGCCAAATATTAATTTGACTTGGATTTTTCTTCTGTTTGCTCACTTTGTTGTATATTGATAAAAACAATTAAAATAAATATATTTTGAAAGCATTCTTAAGCCTAGATTCACACCTATGCAGTTTGCATTTGATCTGTCTCTGCAGTGCTTTTTGCGTTTTTTGCACATGCGTTTTTGCAGAGTTTTGTTTCCCCCCCCCCCCCCCCCCCAACTTGATGCTGGGCAGGTTAAAAACGCATCACATGCTTTTCTGCAGCGTCCCACTGAAGTCTATAGAACAAAAACAACCCATGCAATCCATACATACAAGGGAACCAAAACAAAGTTCAGAAATTAAGTTATGTGTAATAAAACAGAATGCAGGGGGAAAAAAAAAAAAAAAAAAAAAAAGTATTGAACATGTGAAGAAAGGGTGGTGCAAAAAAAGGCATGGAAAGTCAAGACACCAGCTGAAATCTCCGTAATTGAACAATCCTGCCCCTTGTCAGAGCAAATTAATCTCAACTCATGGTCTATAAAAAGGGGTCTCATTACCAAGGTGTCACACAAGAAAAATCTCATGATGGGTAAAACCAAAGAGCTCTCTCAAGACCTTCGCAAACTTATTGTTGCGAAATATACTGATGGCATTGGTTACAGAAGGCTTTCTAAAATATTCCAGTGAGCACTGTTGGGGCCATAATCCAGAAGTGGAAAGAACATTTCACCGTAAACCGGCCACGACCAGGTGCTCCTCGCAAGCTTTCTGACAGAGAAGTGAAAAGAATGATCAGAAGAGTTGTTAAAGAGCCAAGGACAACTTGAGGAGAGCTTTAGAAACACTTGGAATTAGCAGGTATAATTATTTCAAAGAAAATAAGTAATGCATTCAACCGCCATGGCCTGTATGCACGCTCACCATGCAAGAGTCCATTGCTGAAGAGAAAGCATGTTGAATCTATTAAATTTCGCTGTACAACATTTAGACAAGCCTGTGAAAGACTGGGAGAATATAGTCTGGTCATAGGAGACCAAAACTGAACTCTTTGGATGCCATAATACACACCATGTTTGAAGGTCTAATTGCACTGCACATAACCCCAAAAACACCATACCAACAGTGAAGTGTTGAAGTGGGAACATCATGGTGTGGGGCTGTTTTTCAGCATATGGTACTGGCAAACTTCAGGTCATTGAAGGAAGGATGAATGGTAAAATGTACCGAGACATTCTTGATAAAAATCTGCCATCTACCAGGATTAAGATGAAACAAGGTGGACATTTCAGCAAGATAATGATCCCAAACACAAAGCCAAGGAAACTCTCAATTGGTTTCAAAGAAAAAAATAAAGCTGCTAGAATAGCCAAGCCAATCACCTGACTTGAATCCAAAAGAAAATCTGTGGAGATAACAAAAGATCAGAGTTTACAGAAGAAGCCCACAGAACCTTCAAGATTTGAAGACTGTGTGGAAAAATGGGACTAAATCACATCTGAGCAATGCATGCGACTAGGTTCTCTATACAGGAACCGTCTTGAAGCGGTCATTACCAAAGGATTTTGCATGAAGTATTAAATAAATTTCAGTTAGCGTGTTCAAACACTTTTTCCCTGTGTCATTCCATTTTATTACACATAAATTTAATTTCTGAACTTATTTGTTTTGGTTTCTTTGTATGTATGGATTTTAAGGGTTGTTACAGACATGTGGTGAAAATTTAAAATTTCATGTTAATAGCACTGTGAGAAATATATTTAGCAAGAAAAAAGGTGACGTGTTCAATACTTATTTTCCCGCTATATATACAGTCAGGCCCATAAATATTGGGACATCGACACAATTCTAACATTTCTGGCTCTATACACCACCACAAGGGATTTGAAATGAAACGAACAAGATGTGCTTTAACTGCAGACTGTCAGCTTTGAGGATATTTACATCCAAATCAGGTGAACGGTGTAGGAATAACAACAGTTTGCATATGTGCCTCCCACTTGTTAAGGGACCAAAAGTAATGGGACAGAATAATCATAAATCAAACTTTCACTTTTTAATACTTGGTTGCAAATCCTTTGCAGTCAATTACAGCCTGAAGTCTGGAACGCATAGACATCACCAGACGCTGGGTTTCATCCCTGGTGATGCTCTGCCAGGCCTCTACTGCAACTGTCTTCAGTTCCTGCTTGTTCTTGGGGCATTTTCCCTTCAGTTTTGTCTTCAGCAAGTGAAACGCATGCTCAAATCGGATTCAGTTCAGGTGATTGACTTGGCCATTGCATTACATTCCACTTCTTTCCCTTAAAAAACTTTGGTTGCTTGTGCAGTATGCTTTGGGTCATTGTCCATCTGCACTGTGAAGCGGCGTCCAATGAGTTCTGAAGCATTTGGCTGAATATGAGCAGATAATATTGCTCGAAACACTTCAGAATTCATCATCAATAAATACAAGAGAACCAGTTCCATTGGCAGCCATACATGCCCACGCCATGACACTACCACCACCATGCTTCACTGATGAGGTGGTATGCTTAGGATCATGAGCAGTTCCTTTCCTTCTCCATACTCTTCTCTTCCTATCACTCTGGTACAAGTTGATCTTGGTCTCATCTGTCCATAGGATGTTGTTCCAGAACTGTGAAGGCTTTTTTAGATGTCGTTTGGCAAACTCTAAACTGGCCTTCCTGTTTTTGAGGCTCACCAATGGTTTACATCTTGTGGTGAACCCCCTGTATTCACTCTGGTGAAGTCTTCTCTTGACTGTTGACTTTGACACACATACACCTACCTCCTGGAGAGTGTTCTTGATCTGGCCAACTGTTGTGAAGGGTGTTTTCTTCACCAGGGAAAGAATTCTTCGGTCATCCACCACAGTTGTTTTCCGTGGTCTTCTGGGTCTTTTGGTGTTGCTGAGCTCACCAGTGCGTTCCTTCTTTTTAAGAATGTTCCAAACAGTTGTTTTGGCCACGCCTAATGTTTTAGCTATCTCTGTTGGGTTTGTTTTGTTTTTTCAGCCTAATGATGGCTTGCTTCACTGATAGTGACAGCTCTTTGGATCTCATCTTGAGAGTTGACAGCAAAAGATTCCAAATGCAAATAGCACACTTGAAATGAACTCTGGAGCTTTTATTTGCTCATTGTAAATGGGATAATGAGGGAATAACACACACCTGGCCATGGAACAGCTGAGAAGCCAATTGTCCCATTACTTTTGGTCCCTTAACAAGTGGGAGGCACATATGCAAACTGTTGTAAATTCCTACACCGTTCACCTCATTTGGATGTAAATACCCTCAAATTAAAGCTGACAGTCTGCAGTTAAAGCACATCTTGTTCGTTTCATTTCAAATCCATTGTGGTGGTGTATAGAGCCAAAAATGTTAGAATTGTGTCGATGTCCCAATATTTATGGACCTGACTGTATATATCTATCTCAAAGTACATACTGCCCCCAGAACCACCATTTACATGTTTCTAGGGTAGAATGAGAAACACAACAAAAACTATATATAAATACCACTCCCCCAAGTAATTTCCCCAGTTACTGCATGTACCAATCAAGGAAAAACAGTCACAATGGAGATTTTACAGAGATATCCACTACCTCAGGTCTCCTCTTAAGGTCCTCCTTAGCAGCTCCAAAGCGTTTTGTCAAGCGTGTGATTTTAGCCTTGAGGGGGGGAAAGGGGAGAAAAAAAAAAGTGTATATATCTCATTATCAAGTTTGGAAATACTGCTCTGAAAGAATGTTTTACATACAAATTCTACATGCACCTTTCTAGTGCAGGTTAGAAAATGGGCTTTTCACCCCTTGTAAAGTTGACCAGAGAGTACACATAAAAAAACTTGTCACTTAGAATATATGTAATATTAACAGACATTAGTATTAAACATTATACATTACCTGTATGGAATGCAGAACATTCTCGTGTTTTTTGCATTCAATTTTTTCCACCCGTGTTTTCAAATCTGCTATTGCTTTATCAAAGTCTGCACACTGCAAGGCACTTAGTTTTTCCTCAAACATCCTCTGGATCACCTACAGATGAAAAATGTGTTATTGCAGTTTTTTTTCACAACCATGCAATATATTTGCAGATTGCTAAGAATGTTCTTAACTGGTTTTCTAGGCAGCAGCTAGAGTGACTTTGAATTGTATGAGTATATCCCAAAAGCCATATTCAGCCTTTAACACAGCAATAGAATGGCTCGTTAAAAGATCATTGCATTTTACATTTTAATAGCATTTAAAAAAATAGCATTAGAATTGCTAATTACTTCATGTATCAACCTTCAGTTCTTGCTTTCATAAAATTTCCCCCCACATTTGCCTGCAGACCAAGCGGAGAGCAAAATATTACAGTGAGAAAACAAAAGTTGACCTACACTATTAAACTACCAAATGGTGCTTCAGAAGTTGAGTAATTTTCTTTTAACTCAAAAGCAGCATTAACTCAAAACACTATTTTTGCAGCTTACCAATCCATAAACCCAAAACATTAATATATCGCAGCTTACTTTTACATCTCCTCACTATGCAATCACATGATCACAATGCCAATAAAGCTGTACTTCCTATAGTGATGCGGTTATTGGCCCACAGCCATCACATGGTACCTGGGCCAAACAGCACCCTGTACCATGGATTTAGCTTTTTGTGCAAACTCAAATCAGGTTTTCAGGTGTTTTGCACAGAGGAAAGGCTTTTGTCTAGCCACTCTGCCATAAAGGTCAGATTGGTGGAGGGTTTCAGTGACAGTTGCCCTTTTGGAACTTTGTCACATCTCCACACAGGATCTCTGAAGCACAGAGTGGCCATCGGGTTCTTGGTCACCTCTCTTACTAAGGCCCTTAACCCAGATTGCTCAGTTTGGCAGGTAACCAGTTCTTGGAAGAGTCCTGGTTGTGTCAAACGTCTTCCATTTGAGAAGTATGGAGGCCACTGTGCTCTTGGGAACCTTCAGTGCAGCAGATTTTTTTCTGTAGCCTTCCCCAGATCAGTGCCTTGCAATAATCCTATTTTAGAGCTCTGCAGCAGTTCTTTTGACCTCATGGCTTTTTTTCCCTGACAGTATGCATTGTCAGCTGTGCAGCCTTTTATAGAGAGGTGTGTGCCTTTCCAAATCATGTCCATCAATTTAATTTACCACAAGTGGACATTAATCAAGGTGTAGCAACACCTTAGCAACAATAAAGAGAAATGGGAGACACCTGAGCTAAGTTTCAAGTGTTACAAAGGGTCTGAATACTTATGACTATGTGATATTTAAGTTTTCCTTTAAAATGTCCAAATGTTTCTAAAATGTTTCTTCACTTTGTTATTATGGGGTACTGCGTTAATGAGAAAAAAAAAAAAAAAAAAAGGAATTTAAACAACTGTAGTATCAGGCTACAACAAAACAAAAATGTAAAAAGTGAAGGGGGTCTAAATACTTTAAAAACAAAACAAAACATGTTTTTAGAGTGGATCCATAATTTCCAGTAATTTTCCATTTGTATAAAAAAAAAAAAAAAAAAAAAAAAAAAAAAAGACAGTGGTGATTAAATACCACCAAAAAGCTCTTTAACAGTGTACCCAAATTAATATTTGTTTTCCACAAAGTTGCGCAGAACTGAATAGCAAACAAATGCCCTCGTCATGAAGAGGGTAAAAAACTTTCCAGAGGTTAAGTGGTTGAATATCCAAATGGCAGCTTCAAACACATTAGTTCTTCACAATTCTTATATGCAGAACTTTAAACAATGCAAAGGCACAGGGCAATGGCCAGTTTAGTCAATTAAAATATTATTCTTTTTTAAATCTGACACTAACAACTTTTACTTGTTGCAATGCAAAGGCTTTCTACAATACATTTCTATTTGACACAAGAGATAACGGCCTTAATTTGGACGTGGGATTCCTCAATCATTATCCAACAGTTTTATGACTATCACCTCAAGCATTACTCCCTCTGAGTGTTGTCTCTCCCCCCCCAGTCTTTGCTTTTGCTGTGTCTTCTCTAGTTTTTTTTTTTCCATCCCCCACATCTCTTCTAACATTCTGCTAAAACTTTGTGATTAGTACTGCTTGGACCTTGAAGAAGGGGGCATTCCCCGAAAGCTTGTCCTCAAAATTGTATGTTAGTGCAAATAAAAAAAAAGTATCACGGACAGTACTCAATTGTTTGTTACAATACATTCGAAATGGATGAATATTTAATAACACCTTCCCTCTCAAACTGTATACTCCATGGGAGAGCTTGCTTGACATGGAAAAGTGCCACCCTTTAAGTGTTCAAGTCAAACCTTTTCATAGTTTTGCATAGAGTGGAGAGGGATTAAAACACTTTTAATTGCTGTCTCTGCCCCCATTAGGGAGATTCACCCATTCCATTTGTCCCGTTTACCATTGTCCTGTTTATCATTACCATTGAAAGAGAAAGTAAAAGAAAATCTCAAAATCTGGTTTGTCTACAGAAAAAGTAAAAGGGAAATCCTCCAATGGAGACACTAGTTCTGGTGATCCTGGTGGCACAACGGGATTCCCTCACTTTGGAGATATGTCCTCACTTCCAGTTTTGGCTATGGGACAGAAAGGGAGAGAATCTTCCCCAAGACACAGATTTGGGAGGGGGAAATTGCTATTATTTTGAACACAACTGTATAATCTCCATCAGACATCACTAACCTGATCAATCACTGTTTGCCATGTAGAAATATCATTTCTACCAAAAATAATTTACTAGCAGGTGTAGTAGAGTAATAGAAATCCAACAGATCCAACAGTCATGACATGCATGCTGCTGATTCTGTGTAATTGAATCACTAAGTGAAAGGGGCATGTTCAAAATAATAGCAGTGTGAAGTTCTATTAGTGAGGTCATTCATTCTTTGAAAAACAGGTGGCAATTATTGCCCTTATTTAAGGAAGGAAGGCCGCAAATGTTGTACATGCTGGTTACAGTGCATTTCTCTCTGAAATTCTGAGGAAAATGGGTCGTTCCAGACATTCTTCAGAAGAACAGCGTACCTTGATTAAAACGTTGATTGGAGAGGGGAAAACAAGGAAGTGCAGAAAATGATAGGCTGCTCAGCTAAAATGATCGCAAATGCTTTAAAATGGCAACCAAAACCTGAGACGTGGAAGAAAGCGAAAAACTACCAGTCGAATGGATAGAAGAATAGCCAAAATGGCAAGGACTCAGCCAACAATCAGCTCCAGGAAGATCAAAGAACGTCCAAAGTTACCTGTGAGTACTGTTACAATTACAAGTCGCCTATGTGAAGCCAAGCTATCTGCAAGAAGCCCCGCAAAGTCCCACTGTTGAAAAAAAAGACATGTGCTGAATAGGTTACAATTTGCCAAAGAGCACATTGACTGGCCTAAAGAGAAATGGCGCAACATTTTGTGGACTGATAAAAGTTCTTCTTGGGTCTAGTGGTCCCTAGTGGACCCCCAAACACTGAATTCAAGCCACAGTTCACTGTGAATATGGGGAGGTTTTGCATACTACGGTGTTGGGCCTATTTACTGCATACCAGGGATCATGGATCAGTTTGAATACATCAGAATACTTGAAGAGGTCACGCTGCCTTATGCTGAAGAGGAAATGCCCTCGAAATGGGTGTTCCAACAAGACAATGACCCCAAACACACCAGTAAACGTGCAACATCTTGGTTCCAGACCAACAAGATTGACATTATGGAGTGGCCAGCCCAATCCCCGGATCTTAATCCAATAGAAAACTTGTGGGGTGACATCAAAAATGCAGTTTGAGGCAAAACCAAGAAAGAGAAGAACTGTGGAATGTAGTCCAATCATCCTGGGCTGGAATACCTGTTCACAGGTGCCAGAAGTTGGTTGACTCCATGCAACACAGATGTACAGCAGTTCTCAGAAACAGTGCTTATACAACTAAATATTAAGTGATTCAAAGGAAAGCAAAATCTTCAAACATTTTTCAGTTTATATAGTGAATGTTTGAGTTTGTAAAGAAGAATACAAACACTGCTATTTTTTTGAACAGTCTAATATTCACTTTTCTTCAAATTTTTTTTTTTTAGAGGAACACCACAAATTTGATATATTTTTCTTCATGTTTTGATTTGGAATAGAATGTGTAGTGTTCCCAATGCATTTGTGTGTATGGAAGTAAAAGCTATTAGAAGGATTTTGAGCTTTATTCACTTTTTTCAACACACTGCTATTACTTTGAACACAACTGTACATCTCCCTTACTCTACCCAACATGGAAAAATACCAATTGTTGCAATTATACTTTAACCCACATGAAAACACTGTTCCAGCATTTGATTTAAAAACCGAGCCACAAATCTTGGTGCTGGTATATCTCTCAGTACCAATTTATATACCTACCCCACCCCCTGCTAACTTGCCTCCCTCCTCCACTCTTCCTACCACTCCATCCCCCACAGCTATCTCCTCCTGTGCCACCACCCCCTCCCTCCTAGATTGTAAGCTCGAAAGAGCAGGGCCCTTGATCCCCTCATGTTTTGCATTGTATTGGTATTGTTCTGTCACATGTTCGGTCTCCCTTTGTAATGTACAGCGCTGAGCGAACTATTGGCGCTTTATAAATACTGTATAATAATAATATACAGGAACTATGCCTCTACAAAAAGTTTGGTTTAGTTTGATGTTTGTGTTCAGGTTTTTTTTTTTTCTTCCCTTTTATTGAAGCAAGGAGTTTAAGGTGTTTTTATATTAAAGTGTTTGATTTTAATAGAGAAACCCTTGACCCATTATAATTAAATAAACTCAGGCAGAATGTTGAAGGCTTTTATATAAAAATGTACCCAATTTTTCCCCCCTCAGAGCTCTCCTCTTTAGATATCAATACAAAGACTACAAAGTTTCAATTATTTCGCTAGAGCTATGATCGCTGCTAGCTATAGTCGCAGGTAAAAATCCTACAGGCTAGTTTTCCAAAGTCTGCCCATATATTGTTCGAATCTCGTCCGGTCCCTACTGAACCATCCAAGATCTGAACAGTCTATGGCTGGCTTAAAGACTTGTTCTACACTAGAAAAGGGATTAA